AAGAAGAAGTTTTGTCTAAACTCAGAGAATATTGAAGCTCTAAGAGAGTTAGTCCCTCCTGGAGCCCTGAAATCATTTCCATTGCCTCATTTATTTAAGCCTCCGCCATCCACTTGCTTGGGAGATTGCGGGCCTGATCAGCCCGCAATAACTAAGGGTTATTTAACCCAATAGAAAGAGTGAAGGCTTGAGTGCACATTGAGAATAAGAAACCACATGCTTATGGAAGTTGGTGGGTGGGCTGACTGAGAACACTGGGCTCTTGCAGTGATGGTGCAAAAGTCTTTCTTGGTTACATGTCTATCAATAATTCTCCCACCTGAAAAGAAAGATTATGGTAGGACGGGGTGCGGCTTAGCAGTAGTGCATATGCTTAGTATGTGCAAGGCCCTGGGCTCAATCCCCAGTACCACCACCAACAAAAAAGATTATGGTAAGGAATAATTTGGAATTAGTGTTAGGTTTCAGAGTGACCATTAATCAGCTCTCCTGCAATGAGCGCATCATGAGATGAATCCTGAGTGTGCATACACATGTCCACCTGTATCCTGAAGATAAAAAGTTGTAATGTGTCAGGAAAGGTTTAAATATTTCTGTTTTCCAAAGAGTTATTTTGTACTTTGTTTGCTATTAAAATGTAGTTTCAAAAAAAAAAAGAGAAAGAATCTTGTTTGTCTCCGTGTTTGTTTATTGCTCCCCCTGTTCGCCCATCCCTCACTAGAACATATTCCTCTTACCAAAATGCAGCGTGCTTTCCTACTCAGTGATGTATGTCTAATGACTTTAACAGGACCTAGTACATAATAGGTATGTTTTTGGAATTATTATATTTTATAAAGGGTTTGTATCCGGAGGAATGGTATAAGTAGGAATATTTTATGAGCTTCCTATGAGTCTAAATTTAAAAAGATACATATCCTCATCAATCTCCACCTCCTTCCAACTTTTCTCACAACTATGTCTGAGTCATTATTTGAATGGTTTTTTTTTCTTTCATAACTATTCTTACATGTTAAATAAAAGTTAAGGCCTAACTTTTCAAGGTCTTTTGGAATACAGATATTAGGCTCAAATTATCTAGGCTCAAATCCAAGCTCTGCCAAACTCAAGCTCATGTATGACCTTGGGCAAATAATCCAGTCTCTCTGTGTTCAGTTTTCATATTCATAAAATGATGCCTTCCTCCTGAACTGTGGGTTGATCATAAAAACATGTGCACAACATTCAGAACAGTGTCTATATGGTCATTTCAGTCTATGCGTTTGTCATTAATATTGGTTGTGTTCCACTGTGTGGGTGCTAGGGTACAATGGTCAAATCCAAATAATAGGAGAAACTGTGAAAACTGAATGTGATAGAGAAAGTTTGTGTGACAGAACTGCAAGCAGCAGGACAATTGCTTCCAGAAGTTCAAAACAAAATAATTTATTAATTTTACATTTAGACATCTGTGATATGCATGAAGACAATCTGAAAGTTACAGTACCTACATGATTTTGTGTTGAATGTCATATATTTTATTTTAAAATAGTCCCATAAACCTCACCTTGCATTTTAATATTTTAAAATAAAATCCATTATATCAAAATCTTGAGCATTTAAAAAGTTGTAAAAATCATGATTCAAGCCAATAATTTTGTGCTTTGAGATACAGTGAGTAAACCTGGTTTCATTTGTCTACGAAAAATTTACTCTGTTCCTTTCTAGCTTTTTCAAGGCTTTCGAAAGTGATCGTTCCTTTCGGCAGCTGCAGCTTACTCTTCTCTGTTTCCAGTATGTCTTCAGCTTCACCTTAAAATAAAGAACAGACATATACGAGATGACAAAGGAGTTTTTTGAGGAGGCCTGATCGCCATGTTCCGTTGACAAGCTCTAATACTGTATGCGGCCACACCCTCAAATCTCAGTTAAACAGTTCACCCATTTTCCTCAGAAGTAATGTACTTCCCAGAGGAAACAAATGATGAATTTTGAAAATTCATAGACAAATCAGGTGACTGGGATTTACTTTTGACAGAAGATAACATTTTAAAGTGTACACAAGAAAGTTTTGGGGTGGAGATACTACAAACATGCCTATATGTTGCCCCTGAACATAAACTAAGCGATAGGAGAGAAAATAAAATCTACTAAATATCTAATTTTTCAGGAAAGCTACTCTTTCACCTAAAATCACTTAAAAATATACAAAATAATATTAAATATTCATTAATATTTATACATATTACACATATGCATATGCATTTTTATAAACATTTTTTCTCTTCCAAACTGCCGTAGGAAAGGCTGCAATTTCTTGGGCCCAGTGGCATTTGCCAACTTTTATTGTTTTTTTATTTTAAAAATAAAAGGAGGAAAACATTAACAGGCAGACAGTCATTTACAAAACAGCAGAAGAACAATACAAACAATACAGAGTTACAAAGAAAGTGGTAGGAAATTAACAATGCCTGTTGTGTTACATACTGATATCTTCAAAGTGGTTTCTCATGAAAACAAATAGAGACATGCAGTGTTGAACAATCAAGGACTCATTAACTGTTTCTTTCAGCAAAGAAATAGAAGACAGTAGATCAACTATGTTAACTATCCTGTATATACCTACATACAAAATTTCTCCTTCTTTCCCTTCTCTTTTCCCACATCCCAGTTGTCCTTTACCCTTGAGCGTTTTCCTTTCATTTTACAATGTCTATCATACCTCTAAGTTTTTATTAACTCTTTCAGGTTTTACACTAGTGAGACAATGTGGTGCTTGCATATGCAGGTCTGATTTATTTCATTTATGAGTATGATCTCTAGTTGTGACCATTTACCTATAAAAGCCTTGAGTTTGTCTTTCTTATAGCTGAGCAATATTCCATTATATAAAAGTACCACAATTTTTTTATCCAATCCTCAGTGGATGGACATTTGGGTTGCTTCCACAATTTAGCAATTACAAATTGTGCTGCTATGAACACAGGTGCACATATATTGCTGTGATATGATGTTTTCAGATCTTCTGGGAAAATACCCAGAAGAGGAATAGCTGGGTTGAATGGGACCTCTAGTCCTAGTTTGCTGAGGAATCTCCAAACTGATTTCCACAGTGGTTTCACAGTCTGCATTCCCACCAGCAGTGCAGAAGAGTTACTATTTCTCCACAGCCTCGCCAGCATTTGTTATTGGTTGATTTCTTAATGCTAGCCATTCTTACGGGGGTGAGATGGAATCTCAATGTTGTTTTAATTTGCATTTCTCAAATGACTAATGAGGTTGAACATTTTCATATGTATTTATTTGCCATTTGTCTTTCCTTATCTGAGAAGTGTGTATTCATCTCAGCTGCCCATTTTTGGATTGGGTCTTTGAATTTCAGGGGGCTGATATTTTTTAATTCTTATATTTTCTAGATAGAAGCTCTTTGTCTGAAGGACAGTCAGCTAAATTTTTTTCCAAGTTTGTGGGTTTTCTTTTTACTCTGCTGGTGATTTCTTTAGATGTGCAGAAACTTTTCAGTGGGATGAGATCCCAGTTGTTGATTCTTTGAAGTGTTTCATGTTTGGTTATTGTTCATGAACTCTCTGCCTACCCCTATGTCTTCAAGGTTTTTACCTACTTTCTCTTCCAATAGATTTACTGTTTCTGTTTTAATATTGAGATCTGTGATCCATTTTGACTTGAGTTTGGTGCATGGTGATAGGCTTGGGTCTATTTTCAGTCTTTGGCAAGTGGCAAGCCAATTTTTCCAGCACCGTTTATTAAAGAGGCTATCGTTCTTCCAGTGAGTTTGTTTGCTAACTTTTATTGTTGAAGACAAATGAACAACAAAAATTTTCTTGTGTGAGTCAAAGAAAACTTTTATCTTTATCTCTGGTATCTGCTATAGTATCACATTACCATAATTTTAGGCTTTCTAAACTTTCTCAATACAATGCAAGTTACATATAAAAGTTGACATTAATTTTATGGACATTCTCTTGACTCAGAAAGAAAAAGTAATAATGAAAAGGCAATACAGTTGACTTAGAATTTCCTTTCCTCTCACATTGTAATCAATACATTTCAGCATTAACTCCCTACAGTGATGGAGGTACTCTCCATTGCAAGCCTGTAAATGTGATATTAACAAAAATTTTTAAGAATTGTATAATGCATGTCATTGACATTCTATAAATCTGTTTAAGTGTTTTTATCTTTGTTTTAAATATATTTAATATTATTTATTAAAATTTATGAAATTACAAGTTTATATTTTAGTTTTTATTCAGTTAAATGGCTATGTTTAACCTCCATTGTTCGCAAAATTCCTGAAAAATTCAGTCAGTTCTCGTGAGCTGGTAAGAGCTGATTCCAGATACCACTATGTGAAAGAGAGCAAAAATATTAGCCATTGGAAGCTGGAAAATGGATTTTGTTGGAATCTCCATAAGTCAAGGATTATAAAGACAGGATTCTTGAACCAGAAAATGCATCAGGAAATAGGAACTCTGGTTTATCAAAGACTTACCTTTCATTCTTTGTAGAAGTGTTCCATAGCCCAAATCATACTGGTAGGCGAAAATAAAGCTTAATGGAACTATAGGGATGAAGAAGACGGGCTTCTTTTGTTTTATTGCTCTGTTTCAAGAATAAAGGAGACCTTGTATCAAGGAAGAATCCCTAAGTACATGTATCTACACATGACCACACAAAAGATTCTGCTTTCTGTAGGAATATACTCCATTTCAAAAGTTCCTTAATTCATTTGAATTTCCTATGGAAGTAAGATTTCTTTACATAATGCCTCTCATTACATTCTGCAGTTCTCATGGGAAGGCCTGTGACTTGCTTATTTTTATTTCACTGTGAGGCTTAGATTCCTCATTTTAAAATAGATAAGGATTGAAAGCTATCATTCAAAAACTGTAGGGATAAACCCATAGACACTTCCTATCTTGGTATCCAGTTAATCCTCTCTTTAATTTAAAGTAGAGAAAAGGCCACAAGAAACCTAAGGAACTAATGACAAAATTAACTACTACAACCCTGATTCTACAGAGTTTACCCCTAATAACTAGCCTACAAGGTGTTTCTTTGTTTATATATACATGATTTGGACCAAAGTCTTATCTTACCCAAATTAATAATATGATCAAAGACAAAGTGAAGCACACTATTTAAGAAAATCTTAAAGGAAATGGTAAACGTACCCAGTGGCTAAAGAGATGGTTGCAATGCCAAAAAATGTCCCAAAATATTTGAGGAATTCTCGAGACCAAGCAATCTGCATAGCCATTTGTCTTTCCCTCATTTCATTCTGCAACAGTAGCTGCCTTTCCAGCTGAATATAAAACAAAGAAACAAAGTGTGGTTACTCATCTTTTAAATCCGAACACAGAGTTAACAGTGTGGGTTTGCAGAGGATTTTTATTCTTCAATTGTCTTGATTCTTTTTTTTTTTTATCTCATTAAGACATTGACTAACATCCTTCTGGGAAGTTATCTCCACCTGTCACTTTGGCAGTGAAATTCCCTTGATTGATACATTAGATAATGCTCCCGGGTTTCTGTTTCCTGAGGGCATGGTTGCATGTGATCTGAAGCTTCTATCCATCTGATCTATGTTTAGCTTTTTCTGTTACATATCAGGAAAGATCAGAGTCTTTAAACAGAGATATAAAAATCTCACTGGTTTTATTGTTAACACTTGCATGGAAATCATTTTGCCTTCCAAATCCATCCCATTACAAATTAATATTCATCTGCAGTATCAGTTCCATATCACACCCTCATAGGATGATAAAGGGGTGTTTGTAACATCACTAGAAATTTTTCTTTGTCAGGTGTTTCTTCTTGTGCCAAGTCCTTTGCCATTTCAGTCAGTGCCTTTCACCACTTTGGAGCAAATGACAAATAACATCCTGGAACATAGAAGAAGACTGAACATTTGAATGGGTTTTTAGAAAATATACAGAAACAACAGACTGAAAATCTTAAGTCCATTATTTGAAAAGAGCCAAATTCTTGAGAAAAGTGTTATATTTTTGATTTGTTAATTCTAAAATCTTGATATTGCATATTATTAGCAAAGCCATATAGTAGCAAACTTAGAATTGTTGATGAAAGACTAACAGTGTGATTTAGTTTTCCTATTATGTTTTCTTTCTACTATGGACAAGAACTAGGAGAGAAGAAAGAGGCCTCTGACAGCCACTCTTGGTGACTGAAGTGCTGGGTAACGTAAAGGACACCTCAGACTGGCTTAGGGAATTCCAAACAGGATGAAGATACAACCTATGGAATGAAAAAAAAAATTTTGCAAGCTACTCATCAGATGGAAGACTAATAACTAAAATATAGAGAGAACTCAAAAAAGTTAAACGACCTAAAATTAAAGACACCATCTAGAAATGGGAAAGAGAAATGGAGAGACATTTCACAGAGGAAGAAATACAAATGGTCAATAGATATATGAAAAAATATTCAATACCTCTGGCCATTAAAGAAATGTAAATTCAAACAATGCTAAGATCTCTCCTTACTCCAGAAAGAACAGTAATCATTAGGAAAGCAAACAATGACAAATACTAACATGGCTGTGGTGAAAAAGAAACCCTCCTGCATTATTGGTAGGAATGTAACCTAGCACAGTCATTATGGAAACCAGTATGAAGATTTATCAGAGAACTGAAATTAGAAATTCCATATGACCCAGCTATCCCCCTGCTAGGTATCTTCCCCAAGGATTTTATGTCATCATGAGACATTGACACATGCTTACCAGTATTTATAGCAGTATACTTAACAATAGCTAAAATCCTTGATGCAGTCTGTATAACCATCAACAGATGATTGCATGAAGAAAATGTGGTATCTATATACATATAATGGAATACTATTCAGTTGTAGAAAAATGGTAAATTTGAGATACTTATAGACAAAATGATACACTTGGAAAATATCATATTAAGTGAAATAAATGAGACACACGAGTTTAAATACCATACAATATCTCTCATTTGAGTGAGGTACAAACAAAGAAAAGATGGATAAAAAATAGAAAGGGACAGGGGACAGATCTCTTGAAGTAGTAAGTGGTTCAAGAGAACAAGGGTGAGGGGTGAAGAGAAGGGGAAGGGGAAATGAGAGGAATAAATGTGTGCCGTGTACAGGAACCTGACAGCCCCAGTTAATGTAAACACCATATGCCATAACATGAGCTAAGGCAAATAATATCAACAATTATGAAAAAGGGGATAGGAGAACCAGAGGAGGATGGAGCAGAGGGATAGAAGGGGAAGGTCATTAAAAAACAAGCTGTAATGTGTATATGTAACCACTCCCCAAGATGATTATAAACTATGAATTACAAACATGTACTAATAAAATTATTGAAAAGTCATAGTCTGTTACCATTTGTGTGCATAGACACATTCATATGTATATTCCTATTCAAATATGCCTGTATATAGATTTGAAAAACTACTCAAGAAATTAGTAGCAGTGGTTGCAGCTGAGAGAGTAAATCAAGGGGTGGAGACAGGTAGAAGTTTTCATTATATACCCTCTTGTTCTTCTAGAATTTGGATACATGCACACATACTATGGATAAAAAATTATGGATACATAATTTTTATGAAGAAAGAGATAGATAAATAAATAAATAAAACAAAGCCCTTAATCTCTCATTTCAGAACAAATCTATACCCAGGCTTCCCATGAAGTGAGATGTCTATTTTCCTGCCTATCCACAGACAGTGGATAAGAGGTATGGGAATTGTTTATAAAATGAAATATCCTGCAGGTTTTACAATGCATATTCACATTGAAAAGGCTATCCACAATATTGGAAAATGTTGAGATATAGAGTCAAGTGCAAAAATCATAATATAAAAATTTATAGAACATACAGAGTTTATAGAACAGAATTTATAGAACAGAATTTATAGAACATACAGAGTAATAACTAAGTAAATTAAAAAAAATATAGCACAGAAAGAAAAGTCTAAAAGAAACATTAAGCAAGGTTGTATTGGACAAATACTACATCAATCTTTTTGTCATTCTCTACATATGTACCACATGATTTTTGTTGATGTATGTCTCCTCTTTATAATAAAATTATATTTAAAAAAACCTTTCAGTAGGTATAACTGATTTCTGAGATCAGATACTATTCTATTTTACTTCTTTTTATTTATCTATATAAAAATAAACTAATAACAGTTTACAAAAGAATAGATCCACATTGCTGCTGGAAACCAAGGAAGGACAACACCAAACAATCCAGAAATTTGACGATTTTTGGAAACAGATGCAATCAGAGTGATGCTAATATGACAGCAGGAAATCCTATAACCTAAAGTGGATTCAGAAGACCATTACTTTGCCTATAAGAATACTGGAGAAGCTCAAAGCTTGAGATATAATTAAATAACTCCTTATGTAATGACAAATGATATCCATCCCCTCCAACTACATAGAGGTGACAGGATTTATCCTCAGACAAATTTTATCCAGAGTGGAACATCTCTTGGAGGTAGCTCCTATTGCAGGGATTGGATCAAAGAGAAAAGGGCTGCTGTGGAGGCAGTTTTGGCCTTCAATAACAGAGGAGGGAGAGAAAAGTAAAGGAAGTACTATTTCAGCCTGAAAGAGCCCATGGTCCTCCTTAGAGTAAATCCTTGCTCACTGTGGGGTTCTTAAGCTTGCTTCTTGCTCACCCATCCTAAAGGGAAGCCTTTCTATTGTTCCATGGTGCTCATTCCATAAAACCTACAGACTGCAAAGAAAAATCTATAGCATCTATTTACATTAATTACCCAGTTCTTCATCATCCCTATGAACAGGTAATGAAGGGCTGTCAGATTTTTAAGGGAAACCAAGAATATTAATACAGAAGGATCAAAGTAAATAAAGAGAACACCTGGAATGGAAGATAAAACGGATAATTCAGGACAGAAGAAAACAATGTAGTCCATGTGATTAGTCTGCTGTCCCTATTCTCAGAGGTGTCTCTAAAGAGAAATTGTTTGCATGGGTTCTCTAACTGGCTTGCAGTTTTGTTGTTTTTATGGTACTGGGAATTGAACCCAGGGGCTTTGCACTGCTTGCAGTTTTAAAGTCCCATTAAGGTAGCCCCCAGAGGGAGTGATGATATCACAGTAAGATAAATCTATCATAATACTGACTAAAGAAACCAGGCATAAAACTACAAACCATAGGAATTGAATGATATAAGATCAAAATTAGACACAAACTTAGACTGTACTGTTAGAAGTCAGGACAGTGGCTTTCCTCAAGGGGGAGAAAGAACGGCAAGGGGTTTTGGAGTGGGGCTTAAGGAATGCATTCAAATTGTGAAAATTAAACTGTATAATATAACATTGATAAAAGGCATAGAAAATCAAGAAGATACCATTATTAAATATCTTTGGACATTAGACAATGTAGTATTGGAATCTACAGATAAAATCATTTGGAAAACAAGAAAAATTTTATAAATTATAAAAATAACTAGTGGATTTATCCACTACTGTTAGAAGTTTACAGATATAATTAGAAAACTGTAGGAATGTTAGGATAAAGCAATTAAATTATCAACTTTAGCACTCTCCTAGCCGTGCTCACAAGACAAAACATATGCTGATATCCACAGGTACTCAGAAACAGGGAATAAACAAAAACCCAGACACAGGATGGTACCTTGAAGGAGAAGCCCATCAGATACATTCCAGCATCAGGGACATTTCTAAAAGGAACCCCACATGAATAACCTACTGCTATATCCTAAGGTCCTAAAAAAGCAAGAGCCATTGAAACTCCAAACTATAGAAAGATAGAAATTATGAGTCAAATTCAAAGAAATTATGACTAAAACAGAAATTGAAAGGATCAATGGATGAAAGAGTTGGTCGTTTGAAAAGATAAATATGATTGATAAACCCTTAGCCAAACTTACCAACAAATGGAAAGTAAAGATTTCTATCAGTGAAATTAGAAGAGAAAAATGGACATTGCCAAAATCCAGAGGATTAGAATAAACTGTTTAAAAATGTATACATCGGGGCTGGGGATTTAGCTCAGCGGCACAGCACCTGCCTGGCAAGAGTGAGGTCGTGAGTTCAATTCCCAGTACTGGAAAAAAAACAAAAGCAAAACAATAACAAAAAAATGTATACATCATTTTCTTCCTTTTCCCTTAAAAATATATATATTTACACATGATAATTAAGCTAGTGTTATGGTTTGTGTCTGTGCCCCCCCAAAGCCTCATGGGGTCATGGGGCAGGCTTTTAGAGCTTGATTGATTATGGGTGTGAGAGCTACACCCGCGCTGGG